TCTTGCACGCCAAGCGTCGTCTGCACCGTCGCATGGTAATCTTTAACAGCTCGCGCTCTTTTGCGGACTCTGACCGTGCCTTCAAAGAGTCGCGGAGTCTTCCGCGAACTCATCTCAACCTCCACCGAGGGTTCGTACCGTAGATGGTCAGTTCTTGGCCGCTGAATGCGAATCCGGCCAGTCCATTATTAATAATAAGGACAGCCTGGGTTGAGAGACATCTGGACCGTTTCCAATATCCGTTGAATGTTCGGTAGTGACACCGTCGAGTCTCTTGCACCTTGAAGTCACCGTACATCACGTGACCGAGGGTTCGTCGCTTAAACATCTTCGACGGTGCCGCATCTTTGTTGACGGACGATTCTCCGCAGCTCTGGAGAAATCACTACACCACGCAAGTCCGTAACGAAGATCGCATGGTTGTGCTACAAGGAGACAGTGCAACACGGTATCCTACTTCTACCTGCTCGTCAACGCAAGGACAGACAAAAGAGGAAAACTAAGACAGAATCCGGCAGATCGTGTAACTCGCGAGATGCTACAGCAACCTGACGAGCCTTCTCAAGCCAAGACTTCGAAACGAGCTTGAAAACCAGCGAAGAATAAAAGACCTACAAAATCAACACGAGATCATTGTCAAGAGCAGAAGTGCAAGCAAGAGTAGGAACACGATCAGGAGCAGGTCCTCGGCTAGGAAGAGCAGCAAGCTAAGATAGAAACGACACAAAGCAGCAACAACGATCCGGTTTTGTTTGTTGCGAGCTTCTAGGTACTTTATATTGTTACTTAATATACCTCATACACTGATCTTTCACAATAATATCATTTTACAGAGTGTAAATCGGAATTTCGAGAAATTTAAGTGTACTTGCAAGACCGCAGATAAACAGACTCTATCCATACTCAAATCAAGTATGTTTCTTACTTAAACTGGCATACCACCAAAATAAAAAAATAAACGGTGGTTTCAAACCGCCACTGTCAGCTGCGAAATAACGCGTTGACTTGCTGCGCTTGCCAGTAGAAAATTGAAATCCTAATGCTAACAATTATGTCTGTAAAATGTTTAATTTCGATCGGTGAAAATTTGTGCTTTCTCAAATTTGACCGTCTGTCACTGACTTAAACTGGCCGTCTGCCTTATATATAAAAAAAAAACTTTATCATACAATCGGCAGTGCCAATTTTGGTTTCAACCGAAGCAGTAGCCCAAGGGTATACTGAAGAGGCTCTTTAAGAGTTGCTGCTAGAGCGGACTGCGCCCACACAGCCAGTCGTTATGATGCCCTTTGGGCTGCTTTAGAAATGTGTAATATCGAATTTCTGTGCTAAAGTGATGAATGGGGAATATTGTAAATTACAATATTTCCCGTACGTCAGCTAAGAATTACAATTTGTAATTCTTAGCTGTAGCTTTGATCAAACTACATGTGTATTTCAATGCAAACTGCGCTGATGCTTTTTAGTAAAAATCGCAGCCAATACATTTTCTTATATCACTGGTTTAAAAAGGCATCAAAAATGTACCTTTGATGAAAGTCCACTTGTATTAATTTGTACGAGTGCCGCCGCTACGCGGCAGGAAAGAATGAATGTCGTTCCTTGTGTTTTGCCTCCGTTTCGCTCGCTACGGCTCGCTTCACTACTCGCATGATAGGCTGGCAGATTGTGGCTCAGGCGGGCCCAAAGGCCCGCAGGGTTGCAGAAGGTGCCGATTTGGGCCGCCTCGCTGCGCTCGGCAGCTTTTAGGCCAATCGTGGCCACCTTCGCTGCGCTCGGCAGCCAGTAGGAATATTTAAATTATTTTATCCAATGATTTGTCCGGAAAAGCGTGACAGGCACGACAATTTAGTGTGACGGACAGACAGGTTGCTGCAGTAGATGTTTAAGATTGATTTGTTTATAATGTTGCACGAATGTTGTTTCAAATCAATGCGCTTCCAGAGCCATTTAAATAGCAAATGAACATGACGAAGGACACCTCTCAAGAGGGCGGTCGTGAGAGGACCTCACTCTCATTTTTCCCAGCTCCCACCTACATGGGACCCATTCGCAAGGAGTACTTCTACGATCTTCGCTGCCGCGTTGTCCAGAAGTGGCGTGCTAAGGTTTCTACGCGCACTATTAGCAAGGAGTTGCTAATCCCACCATGGAGCATCAGGACCATCATCGACTTCTACAAGGCTAATGGTCACTGTAAGCCCGCGCCACGTCCAGGACGCACTCCACTCACCGATGCACGCCAAGATCGGCGTATTGTCCGCACCGTGGAGGCGAACCGTTTCGTTAGTGCTTCGGTGGTTGCAGCACAAGTCACGTCGGATGTTGGGGTGAAGGTGTCACCCGAGGTAGTTCGAGCACGTGTGAGAGCGGCTGGTCTTCACGGACGCTCTGCCAGGGAGAAGTCCTATATGTCTCCTAAACACCGTCGCCAGCGTCTTCGATACGAAGTTTCTGGACTGGCCGGAAGAGAAGTGGGGGACGGTACTGTTCTCGGACGAAGCGTCGGTTGAGTTGCATGGTACGACAGGGAGGGTTTCTGTCTGGCGGCGTCCTCATGAGGCCTTTGATGACAAGTGCATTCTACCAACGTTTAATTCTTCACGTAAGTCGCTCATGGTTTGGGCATCTGTCACTGCGGACGGGGTGGGCACGATGCACTTCTGTGATGAGTCTGTCGCCGGTGCCTACTATCGCACCATGTTGAGATCCCACATCCCCATTACGAAACAGTTCTTGGGTCTACAAGGTGAAACCCTGTTTGTGCAAGATAATGCTCCTGTTCATCGCGCTAAGGCTACAGCGTCGTGTCTGAAGGAGCTGAAGTTGAAGTCGCTGGGTCACCTTCCACAGAGTCCTGGCTTAAACCCGATCGAGAACCTATGGTTCATCATGAAGCGGGAGCTGAGCAAGGACCCGGCTTCTTCAATCGAAGATTAAAAAAACAAAACGTAAGCGCATTTGGCTGAGTATTGACGATGAGGAGACTGGGAAATGCGTCATGTCCATGCTTGCTCGCCTTGATAGCGTCGTCGCAAGAAAAGGAGGCCACAGTTCATATTGAAGTGACCACTTCAAGATCACCCGCAGAATAGACTTGATTTTTGTATGCTAAATCAGAATTCAAGATTGGGATTTGTCGTGGGCGTTCAATTATTTCGCACCGCATTTTTAAAAAACGCTGATGGAGCTCTACCATCTTACCCCGCACAGAGCGCCCAGGCATACTAATAAAATATAGGCGATTTATTCGTTTTGAGTGCCTAGGCGCTATTCTACGAACAAACTTCTTAACTTTGAAGAACGCACAGATCAGGTGGAGATTATACAGCTACAAATATATATGCATGCACGTCACTTTATTATGTGCTGACGGCTCACCTAGTCGAAGCATGGATTGGCATACTGCTGGTCCATGGATCGATTCTGGTTGTGTCAATTGAGGGCCCATCAGGGAAGAGGGTTGTCGCGAGTTAAAACTCTTTAATGCCCCGCACACAGATGAATTGAGAGTATGCGCTCGAGGCTTGTAGTAGTCGAGTGTTAAGAAGAAAGGAAATCCGAAAGTGAGTTTTATTGAGTTAGTTGTTCTTGTCTTGCTTTGCTAGCTCCTTTCTACTTTCCTCCGTAGTCCTCCTAATCACATGTAAATTGATACACAAAAGATACATTTCGTCGGCAACGCCTATACTCGTCATAAGCGTTGGCGACGAAAGTCACTTGAGTTTTGTATGTGGACTGGATATGCACAAATCCGACCCTGGCATTAACCATGCCAATCATTTGGGATCAGCCAATCAGATAGCTTCATTCGACCCACTTCAACTTATGACCCCTCAGGGCACACGCTTGCCACGCACCAACCGCGTGCTCCAGGCGCGTGCCTAGAGGTAGGAACCCAGGCTAAGTGACGGCGAAGTGCAATCACAACAAAAAGGTATGTCAAAGCTTGTAAATTCCAATTAAAAAATTGAATCTAACATTGTTTTTTTTCTTTACCTAAAACAAATATTTTTTTCGGATCTACACAAGGTATCCATCAACCTAAATAGCAAAATAGCCGCCACCTCGTACCAGAAAGACGTCTTTCGTGGCGTTTTCGGCCGTGTACGTGAAACTTGACATCAGACGGCTCTGGTTATCGACACTTTGAAGTCTGATGTTCCAGCCGTGCATCTTGGACGCAGCATAGATTTCCAGCTCACCTGGATCTGCATGTCCGTCTCTTACCGAGGCAAGATAATCTTCATCCAGTAGACCTGCCAGATCGTCCAGCGTAGCCATGTAACGCGCCAGCATAGATGCATACTCGTAAGGTGACATGTCCGAGCCGTATGAGAAAAAGTAGAACAGGCTGCTTCTCTCATTTTCCGGAATATAATAATCCGGTGCTGACACATGCACCAGCTCTCGTTCGCCTTCATCCGTCACGAGGTGTTTGTATGCCGCATTCCACTTCACCATGTCAAAGTCGGGACTTAGAATATCCCTTAGCGGAGCGTGGAGCTGGTCCACGCTAAAGTCTTCTTCAGCAACCAAACCACAAAGAGAGAACGCTTTCTTGGTGTCAGCCGCTGACCTGGAGCCCACCCAGTCAAGCGTCCACTGTGCCACAGTGTCGTAATGGGGAACCTTGGGGTTGCCTGCCTTCGTTTGCAGACTCTTGTCTCGCAGGGCCAAGCTAATATAATCGTCGTACTTTGACCGATAAAATTCCTGGTAACTCCTGTCAGCGGCAACATCCCGAGGTTGAAGCAGGTTGGTGAGGTTTGGAGGGACCACTAGAACGAAAACGTTATAGCGCACCAGTCGCTGAGAATCAACCAGTTTAACATAACAACCGTAGGAATCAATCAAGTAGAGAACAGGTTCTCGGTACAGTTGTGTCTCCTTCCTCCCACAAATCACAGTCTGCGCATGTTGTAGGAGGATGTCATCACTCCACATTCCAGGGCTGTTGACGTCCAAAAAGACGCCAGCAGGACACTTATGCTTGTTTTTCAGCTATGAAAACAGCAGGTGCGGCATCAAAAACTTGCCTTCAGCGGTGATAGCAAACGTTGCGGTGAAGCGTTTGTAGCTGGAACCGCCCTTTCGTAACAGAAGCGCTCGAGATCCACACGTAGTTATCGCTGACTTTGGTTCAGTCTCGAAGTAGCGGGGGACTTGGTCCATGTTAATAATGTTCTTAGTCTTGATCCCATGCTTCGCGATGAGGCGCTGGGCTTGCTGGATAAACCGCTGGCAAATAGCGGGTGCATCTGCCGTTAGAGTCCGTGTTGTAGTCTGTCGACGAGATACCAAGTTTCGACGCCCCTTGAACCTCGCTAACCAGTCTGATGAGGCTTCGAAGCCAATTGCATCATTGCCGTGCAGTTCACGATAAATGTTGGCTGCTTGTAGTCTAATGTACGAGTCTTTCACTCGTAAGTCTTTGCTGTTCCGATACGCGGCCCACTTATAAAGCCTCTCCGCCAAGGCGTCTTGCAGTTCTCGTGGTAATCTGTCGATCACGCGAAGCACTCTCCAGTTCGTCCCTCTTTGCCCACCAGCCTCAAATAGAATAGGCCAAAACACCATGTCGTTTACCAACAGCATGAAAACCTTTTCCTTGGACACCACACTGGTATTCTTCAAGAATCAAGAGTTTCTGCATGACAGTATAACTACGACGTGAGCTGGGCATCATTGGCTGGTGTAGTGGTGCTGAAGTATTGTTGGAAAGTAGATATTTTTATAATGAGCAGTTGAGCGTTGATGGTCTCAACTACAATGAAAGAATGGGTGGAGAGTAGATTTCTACATGCATTAGAGTCGCTCTAAAAGCATTGGCTTAGAGTTCATTAATTTTTAATAGAACCCTTCCCGCGGTGTGGCCTTGTATTCTACCTTACGTTGTAATCGAGGTTGCACACTCTTCTGAACCACATCATAATATTTTTTAGTACGCCTGGGCGCTTTGTGCGGGGTAAGACGGTAGCTAGGCTCTTTATGCTAAGCGCGCCCTTGTCATCACTTACGCAAGCCTTAAACGAATCTAACGAAACCCTTCATGCGTCCTAATTCGCTCTGGTGATCGCAAGAGGTCATTATTACTGTCTGTTTTATGGGTGGGCGTTCATTTCCTACACCCGCTGTACTATAAAAACAGATGTGGAAACTCAACTGTTGTGGCGTTTCGATAATACAAATATGACTATTAATATCTAACTCAAGTACTACATGTAGTACTCCCTCCCTACCTGCTGCTGTTTCTGCCTTTTTCGCCTACGCTCATATCAAATAAATTAAACAACACACCGTCGTCTTCGCTTTTTGTACTTCAGGGGCCTCGTCATCACCGGTCAAAGAGACAAAGGGCGTGTACTCACTCATGCACAGCACGACCCGCTTTTTGATGAGATCTTAGAGGATAGCGTGCAGACTCACGCGCTGACCTTCGTCGAGTGATACGCGGTGGGCCAGCACGACGTCTTCGGATCGTTCGGCTTCGGGCACGTAAGCGGGTGTAGATGATGATCGACGGTAGAAGGTGTTCGGGTCGCTGACACGAGACACTTTGCCCGAGTATCGCGGCTGGTGGCTGTACATGAGGTTGGTGTCACTGCGACGTGAGCTTGCAACGTAGCTGTGACGGAGTTCGCCACGGGGGTCGCCACTGCGAGGATCACTACGACGCACCGACGCGGAGCTGCGTCGAAGATACGGAGCCATGTCGCTCGGGCGGAGCTGGTTCAGGTCGCTAGAACGCACCGTGGAGGAGCCACTGCCGTACGATCCGTACTCTCCGAAGGATCCGTGGGACCCACGAGAGCCGCGAGCAGCAGCAGCCGCGCCATAAGCTTGGAAGAACTTTTGCATTTCGAAGCTCAAACGGCCGTCTGTCCCGCCACTAGAGCGTGGAGTGGTCGAATTCGGCAGCGTGTTGCCCACCCCACTTTGGTAGAATTTGTCCATGTCTCCTAGATCGATGACAGAGCGTACACTGGAGGCTGTGGTCGTCTGCGAAGCGTACGAGAAGTTGGAAGCAATAGAACGCGGCGATGAAAGACCACCAGAAGACGCGTAGCTGTTGGAACGACGACGAATGGGACCGGAAGAGCGGCGAGAGGAAGTCGGCAAACTCTCAGGCGGCAGCTCCGATGGAATATCCAGTGCTTCGCCGTTGGCGTTTGAAGAAGAAGACGCAGCGAGGTTGCTGATACGACGAGACGATTCGGGACGCTCAATGTGACGAGATGAAGACATGGACGACCGCGGTACGTAGTCGACGTATGCTGCAAGACGATCTTCTTCGTCTTCGTCGGTGAATGAGCCTTGGACCTCACGCCGACCAACCAAAGAGCTGGCATCTGCCTCAATGAAGTCAAAGTATTGAGTCTTTTGGATCCAGCCTTCCGGGATCGCCTCTAACCCATCCTGGGCAGCAAAGCAAGCACCAATAAACATGGCACGGCGACATGTGCGTCCACCTCCGATGATGTTCTCACGCACGGCTGTAGGGTAGTCGTTCAGCACAAAAAGTGGCTGCAGTACAGCGTGGAACCCTCCAGGCAACGAACCACGGTTACCGAACTTCTGGATGGCCTCGTAACTAGGCAGTTGCGACTTGGTGAAGGCCTTGAAGATGACTTTACGCTGCTTGACACTCAGCCTCTCAGTACGGATGCTCATACGCATGGCCTGCAGCACGGACGCCCCGAGAATCACCTGCTCCAGCACAAAAGCCGCCACGAGCGCTGCGTCACGAACACGAGTCCCGACGTAGAAGACCTTGACGAGCTCGTCCACTTTAGTGAACAGTTGATTTGTACCAGCATAGAGTGCCACGACAATGGGGATCAGTGACAAGACGTCGATCGATCGGCACTTGACAGCACAGTGAGGCCAGCCCTTGCCCGAGTGCACACGCTTGATAAAGGCCCTGGACGACGCACTGAGAAGACGGTGGTCGTTCTTGAAGCCCCAGTATGCGTCTTTCGCCAGTTGTGACCCGTGGATGTGTCCTCGTCGAGCGATGCATTGCAACAAGATACGGGCCTCGAAACCGGTCGACGACTCCATTCTCGTGCGACTTCCCTTCTTATCAGTGCCATCCCCCGTGTCATACAGACCGCAAAAGGCAGGGTCAAAGTCCAGTCGCAGCAGATTAGGGATGGTCTTCTCCGGATGGGAGACGCCATTGAGCGACGTGGAGGCCGCGTCGGCAACGAAACCACCGATCAGCGCCGCGAGAGCGCGTCGCCGCGCTGCAGCACTTAGTGGCAAGTCCAGCGTGGCGCTGGGAAGTGGACGCTCGACAGCCTGCACGAACTCAGGCGTGGTGGCTGTGAAGCGGTAGAATCGCTTCTTGTTGTACTCGAACTTGGTCTCTTTCTCCACCTTCTCAATGTAATGATGGGATAGCAACCCTTGCCCTTTGCGTACAGCCTCCGCCACACTCTTGGCCTCCATTTGCTCGAGCATCCAGTCCACAGCCTCCATGCCAGTAAAACAGTCTCGGTACTTTTTGAAAAGGTGGCGACGACGATCTCCCGTGGCCACATTCTGCTTCATACGCGCAGCCAGTCGCAGTAGCGCCTCCTCCTGCTCCTGCTCTTGGTCATTGACGGTGGAGGACTCAGGCACGCGCTCCACGGCCGTGGGCATGGAAAACTGCATGGTGGGCATGTACGGTCGATCTTGCGAGCCCAAACGAGGCTCCGATCGACTGCGTGTATCCGTCCCCGAAATGGAAATGCAGCAAACGTCCGTGACAACGAGCGAGTTTGGCCGAGGCGACGACAGCCAGAACCGGTCTCTAGTGTGGAAGAGGCCGGCCGTCCAGTTGCATCGCGCCCGGTTGTTAGGGCTCCACTATGGCTGCACTTAACATGTGCGAGTGCCTAAACAGCAAGGTGATCGTCTGTCCGTCAGGGTGCAACAACTTGACTTGCCTTCACTAAGTGGACTGGCTCTTCTGGACCGACTCGTGTTAGGTAACACAACACAGAAAAGCTCACTTGGCGTCAGCGAGGAAGACCTGAAAAGCCAAAGATCCGCCGTTTTCGAAAGGCAAATGGATCCACCGTTGGCATCATTTTGCCATAAGTGTAAGTACATTGACTCCGACAATTTGGCAAGCCTTACTACTTGTTGCCACCAAGATCTTGTCGTTGTTTTGCTTTTCGGCGGATAGGCAAGTGGCTGCAACGAACGCGACCGGTTGCCAGGCAACTTGCCTCATGCTCTCTCGAGGTCCATTGTGCCTGCGAGCTTTGTACCGGAGAGAGACGAGCCACATCGGCTTCAACGTTGCCGCAATGTAGCGCTTGACACTTTCCACCAGTCCAGACGGGTGTGGCTCCAGCGCTTTAGCCCCGCCGAAAGGCGAAGCTACTGCGTTGTATTTCATTTCACTTGGGTGGCGCTCCTTGTCATTTCTCTGACTTGAAACGGGCGTTTGGAGCCACCATATCACCTCTGGAGATAAGATCGCCGCTCTTCGCGAAGATGGCTGCGCTCGCTCGCGAGATCTGGCCTGTCTTGATTGGACTACAGCGTCGAGGATAAGCATGTTTTCACATGTACTTCGAAGAACATGTGCACACCTATGGAATTATGCAATCCGCTGGGGCATATTCAGCAATCGTGAGACTATCCTGGGTTGAGTCGTATTGTGCATACATGTATATTAATAATACTTGTCTTCTTTCTTGGGTCGTAATGATATGTTATTCACGTCCCCTGAGTTGTGTGCTCAGTGAGCACTGCTCACCCGGTTTCCATAAATACGTACTACGCTGTACTTCTTCATACATGAAGTATTAGCTCACGTAGCTCGTTGTCTTAGACAACTTGTCTAGTTCCTCTGACTGTTACATCGTGATCAGCGACTCGCTATTTCTGCGGTGTGGAAATTTAGTCACTTTGAACACGAGTGTCAGAAGCTAGTGTCGAGACGTGAGCGTTTCTCGACGTTGGCCCGATGGTCCCACCCAAGACTCTGAAGGCGACGATCACAACAACTTCAACGACTTCAACATGGGGGCGTTGGCAACGTCAAGCAATACATGTAATATTTTATTTAATAACAGTTGAAGAAGGCCTTGCGGCGGGCCGTATATGTGTCATATAACTTGTCGTGATTTGCGTTCGCAACTTATTGTTTCCTTCCTCTTTTAAAGAAGGGGTCTTTCTGCCTGTTGCATGTCAAGCAATAAGTATGATTAATATATTTGTTCTTGCCTTTTAAATTTGTTTATTTGTTTACGACAGTAGAACCGCTTGCCGTCATACTCGAACTCGGCAGGTCCATCGACCTGCTCAATGAAGCGTCGACGAAGCAATGTCTGGCATTTCCGCACGGCCTCGCTCTTGTCCCTCGCCTGCCTGTGCTCGAGCATCCAGTTCACAGCCTCCACGCTCGAAAAGCAGTTGGGGAATTTCTTGAGAGGGCTCCGATGGTGAGTTCCGATTGACAGACTCGTGTTCAGGCGTGAGCATAACTCGATCGGCCCAAGCTCCTTTCCTGGCACTGTACTTGGTTTCGCTGCGACCTCTGACGCAGACGCCTTGGAACAGTGCAAACCCATGACGGCAAGCGGGTGATCTCGAACTGAAGCAAGGTAAGGATAAACTCCAGACGGTTTTCAATAAAGGGTGATTTTTTTCACCCAACGCTCTGAACTGAAGACTTCACCGCACCCATCTGTTCAGGTCTCCGTGAACAAATGGGTGCAGTATGGTCTCTGATAAGCTCATGACAGAGGCCAGAAGCCATTTGTTTATATTTTTGGTATGGGCTACAGAAGAGATTTGTATATTCCCTCAACAGGTCTCGCTGTTAAAGTCGTCATCATCTATCCGCACCCGAGCTATAAAATCCTCTCCCAGTAATGGTTCCCCGCCAGGGACGTGCAGTCGCACGACAAAATGCTTTTCCCACTGCTCGAGACACAAGTCCTCCATGATGGGAATTGTCACCAGTTTAGAGGTTTCCCCAGCAGCAAAAGTCACTTCACCTGCAACCTGCTGGTAGTCTCCACAATCTTTACGCAGAGTCGATGCGACTTTCATACAGGCTGCAAACTTCAAAGCGTCCACTCCGACAGCAGAGCGATCCTCAGTCGCGTAGCCGATAGTCAGTGGTCGAGTCAAGTTGCTAGTTGCTGCAGAGCGTGATAATGTCAACCCCACGAGACCGTCGGTATTCCCCTCGACACATGCGAACCAAGAGTTTGTAAACTTGACACCTGTGAGTGCTAAATCGTAGGCAAAAGCACGGCCAGATTGCGGTAACACGGGAGATGTTGAGATTCCTGGTGCGCCAACAAGTAAATCACTGCCGTCCAGATCGAGTGCAGCACCAAAGTGAGATTGGCGTTGTTTCTGCGGATATTGCATCTTCACGACTTCTTTAGAGGCCCATTTGGGTGTGCGCAGTAATACACCAGCACCGTCACGAACTTCGTCGGCACGTCGGAACACGTAGAGGCTTCCCACTTGCTCCATCGCTCCAAGTCCTTCCTTGCTTGTGTCAAGACCATCGCTTAGCACACGATCGATCGTGTTATTGGCGTCGACGCCACGTTGACCAGGTGCAGCAACGACTGCTACGCCCAAGACGTCGTCTACTGCAACACTTGATCCGAAGAGATCCTCACTACGTTTATCACTGGCAGCCAGACGTGCCTGGAACTCCCACTCGCAAGTCCATCGGTTTATGCCCTCACATTTAGCAGTGGGGAACTGCGTTCCCGGCGCGCGACGACGGAATGTGTAGGCTGCACCAGCCCTCGATGTTGTTGTTTGCGCAGCACGTGTAGCTCCCCACGAAAAGCGCACATCGTCGAAGTTGATATGGCCCCACACGGGATTACTGGAGGCATCCACGACTCGAATCTGTGCCGTCCGATTCTCGAACGCGCTCAAGTCCCACGTAATTTCTTGCATAGTCTCCCGACACCGACCGGTGGCTCGAAGTTTTGAAGTGGCAGTAACGGGGCAAACTTTGTTTGCCGATGTAGTAGTAGAAGTCCAGTCCACTGTGCCTTCTACCGCGACCTGCTCCGCCGCCACCGATTCAGAGACTGCTGCGGGTTGGCCATCAATCAGCAATTCCACGTACACAACTCGGATATCGCAGCCGCCGCCAAGACGAAACGACATCCACTGTCCCTCGACTGTAAAGGGAAGAGATGTGAGCGTGCCCTGCGGTCCGTCTCCTTGGGTAGTGCCCACTGATGCACTCGCACTTGGCAACTTGTAATTTGGTGCACGACACAGCTCGTCATTGGCGAATGCACACATCTGAGCTGCCACTTGTGCTGCAGTCGTTGCCTTCCCTGCTCCAGGACGCGCCTCAAATGTACCCACCCAGTAGCGACCTTCATGGTTGGCCCGTTGACCTGGTGGCGACGCACCGACAAATGAGCTTGGCCGGTAAGTATTCACACGTCCGTAGCTATTGTCACCGTACGTTGGTTGCTGGTCAAACGCTGTCCCCGTAGTCAACCATCCTGTTAGATCTCCAGTCTCAAAATCCCACGTCGTAGTCGTTAGCGCACTCGATCTAGCGGCACCCACGATGGCCTGCTCACCGCTTAGACCAACACTAAGGCCAAACTGATCCCCAGGATTCCCGTCTGGAGCTGACAACCGAGCTTGTTGCTTCCATCCAGTACCGATCGCAACAACCTCAGAAATTAGTATCTGTCGAGTTGGATCAGGGATAAAAGTGCTGCTGAAGGCCTCGCACGAAGAGCACCCGTTTCCAAGCCATGTAGCTGTCATCATTGGTACTGTCACTATTTCTCCGATGAATGTCACAATCCAACTGAAGCCCAGATCGATTGATCCTGTACGACCAACTTCGAGGAGTCTGAATCCTAATGCCTCAATGGTCGATCCATCGCCGTCTTGGCTGTTCGTTCCTTCCAGTGCCGCCTTAACTTCTGCTGCCGTAGCAATGTAGCTGATTGCGCGTGTAATGCCAGTAACCCCACGTCGAGTTGCTATTAATCGAAATGAGCCACTAATTAGCGGGTTGCTTGTGCGCAAAATAATTCGCTGCTCCTGCGCCTCGAGGTGGAAAACATAAGCAGCACCTTTCGCAAAATAGCGACGATCGAAGTCTGCGCTATAATATTGTTGGGCAGTGAAGACGCCAGCGTCAGAGAACGGGGCTCCAACGATGATTGTCCGCTTATCCATATCCGTGGCATGTCCAAAAGCGTACCCTTGTTCTACCGTACGCTCCAGTATCTGATGCTGTACACGGTCACCGGCATGCAGTGTCGACACAAGTTTCCACAATCCATCTACATCTCGCTGATAGACATACACGTTTTCCAATCCTGAAGCTCCCACGACCGCGATGTCACCAAATATCGCTACAGCATTTGAGCCTGCGTAATTGTGGTTGATATCTTCCGTGGGTAAAGTGGGTTCATCAAGCCGTGACTCCTCCACCCATCTAGCTGCCGGACTTAATCTTTCTCGGTGATAGTAATAAATGAACGCAGCGTCAGCACCTGGAGCACCGATGATAGCTCGAATCGAGCCAAGGCTCCCATCAATCGCCACAGATGTCCCAAACAGCATACCTGGGACACAATCGGACGGGAAAACCGTGACATCACGCTCCCAAAACCCGCTTCGACGTACGAATAAGTGCACAGCGCCACACTTGACACCAGCCTTGTTTCTCTCAAGTGGTGCACCGACGGCAGCTACATTTCCAGCACTAAAGATGCTAACAGAGCTGCTATAGTCACTTTGTGCTTGAGCCACAGATGGCTCTGGATTCAGATGCGCTAAGTATGAGCGCGTACCACTTCCACCATCTCCGTTATCCTTGATAGTAAGCGTTGACCACAAGTCTCCAGTCACACTAGGCCAAATACCAGGAAGCGATAGCCGCATCATCACGGTCTCGTCGGGATTCTCTACCACGTAGTCATTTGTTGTTTGAACAGTAAACGTATGAGTAAGATCGTCTACGCCGTCAAAGAAAAGCTCCCCCGAGCTGGATGAATAGTCCGAGGTGCCAGCATAGTCAAATATTGAGTCCACCCAGAGCGATCGTCGCTCACTACTGCCGTAGAACTGGTTCCGACCATTAGCTGTACCAACTGCATCAGCAGCAAGCCATCGTCCATTCCCCTCCTGCGGGAAAGGCTCTTGGCCCATAATATCGTTCGCAAAGAAGACCGATGATGATCCTTGTTTACCAGAAGCGTCCAGACTCGACAGTTTCCTGTAAGGTCCAATGCTTGGAATAACAGCAACGTTCGTCGAAGCAGACTGTCGGTCAGAGAAAGCATCCCCTGTATCGTACTCGATATAAAGCTGAGGAGCAGCCGATACGTCCACCGCGCAAAAACCTCCCAGCCGACTGCAGCGCTGCACTGTGACGTCCAAACTGTCTCCTTCAAGCACGTTATATGTCTTGGTCGAGAAACGCAGAGCCATAATTCCCAAGTCGGCTACAAAGGCACCTCCAGAGTTCGTTCCTGATACATACGTATCCAAGTTAGGTGCTCCGATGACAGCGGTACGTTTGTGGACTGCAACTGCCGATCCAAACCAAGCAAAATACTGCTTCTTGCGCGGGAAAAATGATGCCTGTTCGGCCCATTTCCCGATGCTATCCCGAGTGAAAACGTAAGCGCTTCCTCGTAACACTGGTGCCAAGTGATTGATCCACTTCACCGTAATTTCCCCTCCTTTAAGCTGCGTGTTGTCAACCTCTAACAGCGGTATCTCCCCAGAGCTTCCTGTGAAAGTTACATACCATGAGTATCCTTTAGACGCGCTAGGGCCATCTCGATGTACAACAACGTCTGTCAGATTAAAATCCGTTTCTAAAATCACCTCAAGTCCCGATGAGCTGATGTCGTACGCAATCGCTCTTGTCTCCACCCGTCTCATAGTCGTCACTTTTGTCGGGTCTTCTCCAGCGTTGGAGCGCAGGAAGCTAAGCATGAACGAACCACCTTGGATAGTGTTTGTGGTCTTATTCTTCAAGACGCTAGCTGTGAGAGCTTGCACCGCCTTTCGAGTTGTGCGTTCACCCTCATAGAGCTCATGAGCACCAACAATAATTGTGTCTTTCGCCACCGCGACGCTTGTTCCAAATCGATCGCGTGCGCGTAAATCTGACGCATATAGAGCTTGTTGCAGCACGAATAAGATGTCACTGCTGCTGCGTCGAACAAACACGAGGACCACGCCACTCTCCACTGCATCAACTGCGCCATCACGACGATATGTATGACGGAGGGCAGCAACAACTAGCGTGTAGGTAAAGATCATATCCAATTCCAACGCATTTCCGAAGCGATCTCCGGGCCGCATCTCAGGAATTACTTGCATCAGCATTTGGCGACTTTGGAAGTAGCCGCTCACCAGGTCAAATACGAACACAGCCCCACTATTATCGGCGTAGCCCGGGGCACCAACAACCACAGTCGTTGTTACAGTTCCTGAGATCGCCACAGAGTCTCCAAATCGATCCCCACTCGTAATCGCATTAGGCGCAGCACTGAGAGTTTGGAAAAGTAGCCATTTATCAAGCCCGTTGAACTGATAAACAAAGACACGACCTTCTTCGTTATAAGCCCCAGGGGCTCCCACGACAGCAAATGGGTCGGAGAGCGCAACTGCACCGCCATAATCACGCACGTCATCGATTTGAGCAGCTGGTGGTGCGAACTTTGTGTATTCCGACCAAGTGCTCAACTGCTTGTCTCGTGTGAAGATGTAGGCGGCACCACATTGAAGTCCTTTGGCTCTAGCCCCATCACTGCGAAACGAGCCAGCGGAATACTCGTGCATTTGAGCGCTTCCAGCGCCAACACCTTTTGTTAATGCACTCGGGTCAACGACAAGGTCAGGGATATTCCCCACGTCATCTCCGTGGTCGCCTGCCCGCAATGTAAGTCCAATCTCGACCCCCGAACACAACGTAGTGAAGAATGTGTCGACCTGAACCTCGCTGTAATCTACTGACATTACTGCAGCAATCGCGGATTGGAGTTCTTGCAAATTTGCATCGAATGCAACCGGATTCGACGCCTTCCCATTGAATAGAATGCGCAAATGTCCTCCGTCGGCATCACACAACAGTGACTGTTTCTCAAAATCACCGAAGATTGCAGCAGCGGGTGCGCCCACAAGTAACGTGTTGCCCTGCAAACTAACACTGGAACCGAATAAATCGCCGCCACGGGTATCATGCCCAGCAATCGTGCCACCCTGTTGCCTCCAGTCATTATTACCGCGTGAAAAGACTGTCACCATGCCAGCCGAGCCGCCTGGTAGTCCAGCATTGGTGCTTGAACTATCAGCTGACAGCGACGACGGCTCGTAACCACCAACTTGGACAACAACACGAGCGTTTGTGCCTTTAAGCTTGGTAATGACAGGCACAAGTGAAGGTAAATGGCCTGATGTATCTATCACGGGGCCGTAGTCATTCTTGGTATTCACTTGCAGAAACGTGACTGTCCACGAGTATCCACCATAAATATTCATGGCATTAGTACGACGGACAGTAACATCATTTACTGACACCAGTTTCTCCAGCGCGACTTCAACATCGTGATCACTCGCACCGACAGGGATATCATCAGTTTCATCATTTGGGAATATATCTGTTCGGAACTGGAGCCTGAAGAACCCTGACAAACGACCCTGACCGTCACGCTCCGTGCGCACAGTCAACCCTGCACCATACCCGGTCATCAGCACACCCTGTGGCAATAGCTGAGGCACATCATAAAGCGTGTCACTTGCCGTGAACGTAACACGCCAGGTGTAGGTATCCATCGCGCTCGGCGAAGAACGTAAGACGCTCCAGACATTCAAATGTAAATCCTGAGTCAGAATAGTCGTTAGCTCTGCTTCATCAACATCGTACTTGATGTTCCGTGTGATAAAGTTGCCCAGCTGGAGTGTCATGGTGCCCCCGAGCGTAGTGGAGGGTACCGATATCACCGCTGATGATCCACTTCTTCCGTCACCAATAGACGCCGATCTTCCTGTAAGCTGACTGCTGCTGGTTACAGTCAGCGCGTCCAGGGAGCCTTCGGCATAAAGAAATGTAATATGCCATACGTACCCGTTACTGCAGGCACAGTACGTGTTAGGCTCTCGGGTGACGGTAACTGTCTGAAGCCCAAACCCCAAGTCCATTTCCAAAGCCACACTCATTTGAGTGGGGTCGGCATTATACGGGAGACGGCGGGTTGGCCCGATAACCCCCAGTTTCAGATAGAAAAAGCCGCCGATGGTTTCTCCAGGGGCAGCTGTGCTTGTCAGAATCTGCACGGCTGGTTGCTGCTTTGCTGTTGTCTCAAGAACTTGAATTTCATTGACGAAGGTTTCTGCATCGCCCAAAGCTGTCACGATCTGAACTGCAGCCACTGGCTGGCTTGTACCAGGTCCACCAAGTACGAGTGTGTCACCATCCACGTCAACGCTTGAGCCTAACCGATCACCACTCGCAAAAGGAGAGCTCCGTAATCCATACACAGCGGAAGAAAGCATGTCGAAATATGCACTGGTTTCAAGCGCCGTCTGGTTGCACAGTGCACTAAAGTTGACCCTGTAGTCAAAACCAAGACGGTCCACAACAAGATCCGTGAAAGTAGCTCTCCCGAACACAATTGGTTTGGCTGTATCACCGAGTAGTCGTCCGCCAGGGGGGTTCAAATGCAGATCCACACTTTGCGTTGGAGCCACGTTTGCGTTGGCCGTGCAGGTCAATATCCGAGCACCGTTAAGCTCCAAGGCCGTCGTACCAGCATAGTCCAGAGCAAGCGCAGTGTCTCCTGTCTTGATTGTGTACTCAAACCGCAACGCTGGACTGGAACTTCCACTCACGTAGATGCCATATCTCGTGATCGTAGTAGACCCAGAAGCTGACAATGACGAGACCGGACTAGGCTGAAATCGAAGCCTAGGCGTAGGGCCTTGTGCTCCCAGTGGGCCTCTATCAATGACCACACAAGCGCTAAATATTACCTCCATTGCCACTGTATCTAAGACTTTGTAAAGACCATCAGGAGACACGAAGCGTGTTGATACAATACTGGGCTTGCGGCCGTTCACTTGAAGGTTCTTGTTGTAGCTGAGGCTGCCTTGAGTACACGGATACGGAAGATTAACATCTGCCAGCGTTGTTGGGTTTGTTGACAAATGTAAGATCGCAGTCGGAGTCGTATCATTTACGTTAACGGTCGAGTCAAGGGAGTGATGATCCACATATTCCATATCCGCAGAGTAATCGCCTTCCTGAACCGTGTAGACGAATGTGAGAGCTGTTGAACCGCTACCAGAGCTATATATCGCCTTGCGTGGCACCACTCCCATATCTAACCAAAGGAAGGGAATTCCCTTCACGACAACGTGCTGGCTGAAAGCCACAGTGAGTGCGATTTGATCTCCACACCGGTAGACACCACTCGCGGATGGTGAGGAAACATTCAGGATGGTAGGGACCTTGTTCCCATTAACACTCAGCGACACTCCAAGTGATGTCGGAACAGGAAGAGCCAGCACAGCATTTGTAGTAGGTGTAGTCGAAAATCTTTTAATGGACGATTGGCCTCTATTGAGCGTCAACGCGCTCTGGTCGAGGTACATAAGATCGGGAGCCACATCGCCTGGCTCCACAGTGTACTTGAATAGCAATAGATGTCTGTCGTTATTCGCATAACCTTGACACAAGACAGATCTCCCACCCTTCACAGTGTTAAGTAACAGCACAGGAGCCTTTTCTGGGTATGCACTCGGCGGAGGCTCGATAAACACCTCCAAATCCATCTTGACGACGATTTCAATCACATCCCCAACGACGAACGAGCCACCGTTAAATGTCGGGGCTGTTGTACCCGCGTAGACGCTTAGAACTTTTGGGGCTCTTGTGTCAATCACAATGTTTGCAGGTACTAAACTGATGGCAGCGAGCGACAGGTCTGCACTTTGCGCGTTGTAGTTGATGATTTCGCAATTTGGCGCAGCACATATCAGGGCATTGACATCAAATTTGTCTAGTCCGGAGGAAACTTCTCCTTCCTTTACGATATAGAGGAAAACCAGCGTCCGTGTGGAGCTTCCAGATGCGTACGACACGATGGTGCCCGTATTAATCTTCAGTGCTGGTGGCGTTACTCCCGATAGCGCGACTTCGTCTGAAAACGTAAGAAACAATGTGATAACGTGTTTCGTTCCGTACGTTCCTGCGCCCACGTCGGCTGTCAAGTGCGTAATTGTCGTCACGAATGACAATGCTCGATCTACGATGACCTGAGGACTCAAAGATGGCGGATCTGGCAACGTCAAGTACGCATTCAGAGTGGGTGCGTTGGAAGCGCGTCGGATCGTTGCACCATTAAGCACCAGAGCCGACCTGGAACGGTAGTTCAGTCCATTGGGGGCTGCGTCCCCCAAACTCACGATGTAAGAGAAGAGTAACGACTGACTTCCACTGCCTGATTTGTACACGGCCTGACGATTATAGATTCCCACATCCATTTGCAGTATGGGCGAGCCTTTTGTTGTGTTCACAGTCACTAGAGCCGAAAAACTGATGCCGATCACAACTTCATTGCCCCGCGTAACAGTCGGAGAGGGTGCAGATGATATGGCAATACTTGTGACAGTCGGAGGAATCCCATCGATGGCTAATTGAGCATTGTTTACCAGTGCCCTGCCTGAATTTGTAGTGCTCGCCAACGATAGAACAGCAGAAACTCCTGTCGTCCCCCTAGAGTCTACGAGTGAACGAGTAATAGTACCGCCATTCAGCCGAAGTGCCTGGTTGTCCCAATAGTTTAAGAAACCAACTCCTGCGGTGTCACCAGCCGAAACTCGATAGACAAATGTCAGCACTTTGGAGCCGCTACCTGTTGTATACCCCGCAGGACGCTTAATCGGTCCAGTCTCAAGAATTAGACGCGGATACCCCGTCACGTAAACTGGCTTTGTAAATGTTACCAAAATCTTAACCTCGTCTCCAGGAGCGTAAATGCCGTTGCTGCTGCCACTTGTCACGCCCACCGTTGCATCAACAGTTGGGATTGCAGTGTCAATGACGATATTGTTTACGGTGGAAAGCTTAGCTGGCACCGCTGTCATGGTTACAATCGCGTCGATTGTCGGACGCTGCGAGAAACGCTTAATAAAGCCACCATTGACGTTTATATTCGCTGTCACATCCAGCTTCGCGGTCGCGTCACCACCCTGGACAGTGTAAACAAACACTAAAGTGTTGGTGTTGTTTCCGCTGTAGAATACTGCGTCACGCATCCCTCCCGAGCCACCCCCGACTGACGTAAGCGCCACTGGCAACAGCGGGTTGCCATACACTGACACAGGCTGTGAAAATTGCACATTCAGGTTGATCTGTTGCCCTGTGCCATATTCGCCATCTCCTGGAATTGGACTTGACACGGACGTGATCACTGGAGCTGTCGTATCGATTACCACCGCGCTGCTTCCAGCTAGAGAATTCGCGCTGCCTAATGTCGGCAACATGAGGATGGGGATCTTACCGTTTCGGTCCGTGATCTGTCCGCCGTTTAATGATAGAGCAGTCGTAGATGTGTACTCTAAGTCCAAAGTGTTATCTGTGGTCACGACTTCATACTCGAATACGTAACTACAGGACCACACGGTAGTTGTCGCGACGGCTACGGCTTCTCCATTGGCTCCCGCTCCATTAACAGAAGATGCAAGCTCCAATGTCGGTGCGCCCTTGATTGAAACGTCATCTGAGAACGTCACTTGCACGGAGATCAGCGCGCCGACGCCGTAGGGCATCGGATACGTCGAGCTGATTAACGCACGCACACCCACAACTGTCAGTAGGGGGGCAGTTGAGGTATCAACGACTATACTGGAACTCACAGAGGCGCTGGAGACCAGAGAGGCTGTGACAGTTCCCGCCTCAAGTGATGAAACCACGTTACCACCAGAATCGAGTAGCGCCACGACGGGTTGGATTTCGTTTGGCTGGCCATCCAGAATTCCATCAGAAAGGTTGCGCTGCAAGAGTAATGACACGGGATTACCCGTGAGAACGTCAAATGTGTCTGACACCTGAGAAATAGTCGTTTTCTTCCAAGTGTTCTTGCCTTGGACCTTGGTGTATAGTGTGAATCGCAGCGAGTATCCATTCCCGACTCTGTCAATGTTTAAGCTACGGAAAGTCGCCACCCCTTTCTGTACTCTGACAGTCAGTTCATCAGTTGGCGTAAGTGTTCCGCGCGAAGGGTTAGCAGCAATAGCCACGCGAACCTTGCTTGTACTGTCAGCCTCGAGAGCATTACCACCGGAATCAAGAAGCTTGAGCACAGGCTGGACAAGAAATGCCTTACCACCCGTAGCTCCTCCTAGTGTAGTGTTGAGCTGAAGCCTGTTGCACTCACCTGCAGCAACGGTGAAAGGGTTTGTGACCACTGTGTTTCCACCTACAAGTACCAGATCTGTAGTATAGCGCAGTATGTACGGTGACCCGGCAACATCAATAAATGCACCACGGAATCGACCGATGCCGCCAACAATCGAAACGTTCAGAAGGGCTGCTGGCTGCAAGATGCCTCCAACAGGATTCACTTCAATCTCAATACGAACAGAGCCCTCCGTTACTGTCGTCACGACATTACCGCCCTTGTCTACCACGCCTGCAGTTGGCTGCGGCAAGAACGGTGTGCCACCGTAAGCCGTACTGATATCAGCAAGAATCGCAAGTCTGTACCGGGGACCCACGACAACGTCAAACGATGAAGTTTCTGTCCGCACGCCATGGTAGTAAGAAGAGAATACGAGAGTGAACCCAGCATTCGCCTGATTGATGTACAACCCTGAACACCGCGCAATTCCGCTTTCGAAAGTAAAGGCACTTGCCACGGGATAGATAATTGCGAATCGAGACGGGTTATTTCCGATGCTTACAGTCACGACGCCGTCATTTTCGGTAGTAAGAATGTTGCCGCTGTCGTCGGTCAGCGCGAGCACCGGCTGCACAGACAGAGGCTCTCCAGCGGTGGATGTCAGCGGCTGCACGAGGACTGTCAGTTGCTTCGCCGATGCTCCCAGCAGGAGCAAGCCCACAATGACAAGCAGCATTGATGTACACCGGTCACGCCTGCATCCTGTCATCACAGCCAACAGCGAACAACTCTGGTCAGTTAGTCAGTCCCTCGCACATCAAGGAGTTCACACCAAATGCGCCGCAAATAAAGATTTGATTCAGGATCTTCAGACGCGACCTTTCGCAACAAACCATCGTCTCCATGGTTAGTACGTGATTGCCGCCTCTTGACCCTGCATGTTACTTGGTGTAGAAGCCATTGTAGTCGAGTCTCGTGCACAGATTCGACAGATGCGAGTTTTGCTGCCAGACAAAATGCAGGCGACTAAAACAGTCAGAAGACGGTTGAGTGAGTATCATCAGGCGAAGGATCTTCCGTACCTGCAACAGCGAACGTCGCAGCAATTGCTGCATGAACTCTCCCAGCAGCGAGTCGAACTGGTTTTCGAGATCGTTCGTCATTCTCACAAATGGGTTTTCTTTATCGCCTTCACGCTCCGTCAATGCACGCTTTACATCGTCGGACAGCTCCCTGATACGAGTCCGCCGCATGTCAACCTGCGAGGACTGCCTGCGTCTAAGCACGCTTCTTTTCTTCTTGCCGCCAAACGTTCCCGTCTGACGCTGGTAGCTCGCCAGTGCAACTTCCGCCTCTTCACGCGCCTTCTTCTCAGCTCTCCGATCCCTCTCGGCTTCGCGTTCAGCTTTAATCGTCTCTTCATCCAGGAAATACGGTCGCGTGTAGCTCTCGATGCTGTTTGCGAACGCCATACACACCATCATGAGTCTCGTAAGGACACGCAACAGATCCGGGTCTGTCAGCAAGCATTCCTTCAGACAAATGTCCAGAAACTCGCCCTGGAACTCCAAGATATCGTCCACGGTCCCTGCGCTCGCTAGCTGCTGCTGGAAATCGTGCCATCGGGGCGAGATCACCTCAAACATCATGTAGTACACGAAGTTCTGCTGAAAGTGCAGCATTCGCTGTCGTAGGCAGAATGATGGTCCCAGTGCAGCACGCAGCGACAATTCTTTGGTTGCCTGGTGGTTCATCCAGGCGTCACAGAGCTGGCGCTCCACGTGCTTGCAAAAGAAAACGTGTCGGAAGATCATCTGATACTTGGTCAACGCACCGCATGAGATCACAAGAGACAGAGGCCACTTGACGTTGTAGTCGAGAGTAAATGCATCAATGACCTTATACCCAGGGTGACCGATGGAGGACGACGCAAACGTTGTCAGCGAGTCACGGGGGCCTTTTTGAGCGCGTTGGTGGATCGCTTCCATGTGAGAGATGAGATTATGTGGCGACAGGAAGCACTGCAAGTCGTCCTTGTATGGGTCGGACGAGCACGTAGATGTTTGGAGGGACAAATGGAGCAACGATTCCAAGCGCGGTAACGACAATTTATCAGCTCGCAACTTGAGCTCCACCTCAGCTACGTCCATAAAGTCGACGAAGAAGTCTCCCTGGTCCATCAGGAAATAGTGTTTCAGCGAGATCAGTCGGTTCTGCAGGTCGTTCTCCCGTACGAACAGGTCCAGCAGCACACGACTAGCAAACCCGTGTGCCCTGTCTATCAGTTCTTCGTAAACTGATTCACTCGAAGAAAACACAAGCTCCCCTGCAAATGGACAGTCCACTTGACGACTGCATGTGCGGAAGACATTCAGGTACTTACCAGCAGTCAGGATTTTCTGGGCGACGCGGGAAAGGAATAGCGGCACTTGCGATGCACGAACCGTGTATCGACTCTGCCAGTACGTCGAGTATGGGTTATCTTTTACGTCCTCTTTGCTTACTTGGTCATCTCGCCGAATCATAAATTCATCGTATGGATCCACAAGATCTCCATGGTAGACCCATCGTTCTACCATCTTTAAATACGGTACACTGGCTCGCTCCATGAGGAACGAGAATACCTTGCGTGCGTTGGAATCACCTGCCAGGGAGGACATGACCCGCTGAATCTCGGAAAGCAACGACCCGCCACCGATCGTTTTACGGCAGCCGTCCACCAGCAGGCTTAGCATCTCCAACGTCCTTAAGCTTGGCTGCACATAGTACCATAACTTTTGGATGGTAAATGAAGCTGCCCCGTCTGTTTTCCTTGCTAAATGCTCCAGCTGCCCAACCATGATTTTATATTCCTTCACCAGCGTTTTCAGCGCCGCGCAAAAGGCGTGACTCACTTGGCCGTACTCATACCGAGAGAACTGCTCAATGTAGAGCGTTAGTTTTAGGTAGAACTCGCCCAGCGATAGACACCGTGACGCCAAAGTCAGGAGAGACGGATCCATACCAGGTTGGTTCAGTCCAAACTTGAATGAGCGCGTTGATCTTGCGGCGTCAACACCACGAGTTTCGGTGACGGCTAGTTTGATATAGCGGCCTTCCACACCCAGAAGGACGTATAACAAATCGTCCACGATGATGGATTCCTGTGCTGAAGGAGGGTACGTGGACAATGGAGGCAGGTTCAAGTCGCCATCATCTGGTGAGTTGTGTCGCTTGGTTTGCAGCTGTACAAAAGCCTCGCCGGTGAGATAAGGGCGTTCTCGATTCCACTCCGGGTCATAGGGCAAATTCGACTTCGTGACCTTCCACACCTGCATGGTATCGTTGACACCATCATTCTCTTTGCTCAGGACGACAGACGGCATGTTCGTGCCTGCTGACACATCTTGCCCATACCAATCGGGGCGTACGGAAAGATAGAGTTCAGCTGTATGCATCTTGAGCAACACACTGTCGCTCGTTGCAATCGTTTTCTGTTGGCCCCACAGTCTGTTTGCAGCGCCCACTGAGACGAATGAGTCTTGGTTACTAACAGGATAGTCCTCACGGCCCTCTGCAGCAGGATTCACAAGTCTCCACTTCTCGCTGTTGGAGATCACTGGCCCTTTCTTCATCGTTAAGGTCTGAGTAGCTGGGTCTACCGACAAGAACTGTCCTTTGCAGCTCCCGCCAACGCAGTATAACGAGACGACATCCGAAAAATGAACTTCTCCACAGTCCGAGCGTAGAGTAGTGTTTTGCAGCACGAATATCTGATCGGCGTCTCCATCCAATCCATCTCCACTCACGTCAATCTGGATGATAGTCGACAGTTGTGAGCGATGTGCAATCCCTGCCGGTCCACCCGCTCCCGTGCCTGATCCCGTCGGCCTTGGCGGCAAATACAATGTCGTTTGAGACTGCTGGCTAATGTCCTTAACTGTCGATATTTTCAAACACTGACGGCTGCCTAGTCGCAGTCGGATCGGCGAATTATACATAATCTCCGCTCCACAGCTCGAAGGTTCTCTTTGTTCCTCGCCTCGTTCTCGATGATAATTTCGCGTCGACGTCGCCAAGGCCGTCGACGTGCTGGTGCTTGGTGCGGAGTATATGGAATGGGTCGCCGAGAAACTCGACCCTGTGTACTGAGACGATGCAGCGGGCGAAGGGCCGCTTGGAGCCGCTTGTGAGCCTAGCAAACTGTCGACGCGACTAAGCATGGCCCGATGTGGCGACAGTTGGCTGTTTGGATTCAAGTGTTGCGTCTGCATATTGAAGCGGCGGTCTCCAGTGGGCGCGAACTCGACGCTGTTGCTGCTGACGCTGTAGGAACGTGGGGTACTGCGTGTGCTGCTGTGATTCGTGGGTGTCGTGTTGCTTGTATTGGCTGCACTCGTATTAAGACCCGAAGAGGTCGCTGTGATCTTTTCCATCACCTGGCGCTGCTTCTCCACCTCCAAACGCGTCCTGGGCGATAGTGGATCGTCGTCCTCGACGTCTACATGCAACGAAGCGGATCGGGACGAGACGCCACCGGCGCGGAGCTCGCTAAAGGTCGGAGCACGTCCTCCAGCACGTATCGGGCCTGACGCCACTGGCTTGGAGGACAGTGAGCGGCTACGAGAGTCCACAGCAGGCGGTGGCGGAGGTGGCGGAGGCTCGTCTTGCATAGTTTGTCTAGCGCGCGCTTTTTTGTATTAACGTTAATCACGACAGGTTAAGTACGAATGAGAAACCTCCCACTTAAGTATGAAGAAAATAAAAGACGAAAAACCGGAAGACTCATGCGGGTGCGTGGCGCTGTGATCCTTTCAACAAGACACTGACCAAGCGATTGATATCGGCGTTCTTCTGTCAATACCGAGCAGCTCCCGGTCTCCGTCGGTTTGGTGCTATACATGCTGCTATTGTGGCTCGTAGGCGCCATCTTCACGCCTGCAGAGGACAAGGGCGGCATATTAGCACTGTCCGTTGCAAAGTAAGTCGTGTGCAATTGATACTGCGGAGATAGAGGGCGTCCTTCTAAGCGAATTCGTATGTTAAGTGTCATTCTGCGCCACATTCGCCCCTGGGTCTACCTTACTGCGGGTTTCTACCATCCATTCGTCATACAGGTTAGCTTCTGCTTCTTTTGTAAGTAAGCACGATGTCTAACGCTGGCCGTCAACTGCAGCTAGTGTTTGTTTTACCATTGGCCTTCGGGCTGGCCAAGCGCGTGGAGCCAGATCTTGGTGCGCTAAACCTCGCGCGACTGCTGCTGTTCGCCAATACGGCAGCGGCAGTGGTGATATTTGTGAACCTCTTCGTGCTCTACATCATCTTTCGAAACCCCATCTACCTGTATGGCATTCTAGTATTGAGCCCTCGTGCACGTGGTGGCGTCCTGTATCTGACGGTGCTCTGCTGATGTAGCGAGGCGAGCTTTTCGGGTTTTACTGGCGGAATGTCGGCGCTTTTGGTAGCCTATATGAAGCCGACACCGTTTGCGACAGCTCCTCTGCTCCCAGGCGTCCAGCTTCGTGTACGTTCCTCTTGGCTGTGGTTGCTTTAATTCAGTTAGCTGCATCGTGTTGACGATTGTGGCCTGTGTCTCTCAGTTCTACCCACTCGTAGCATGTGTTACTTTCTGCTTGTGTACGATGACCGGTATGGTCTTTACCGCTATCCCGGCACTTAAGCTGATGCTTGTGGGTTCTGGGCCGTTTTCGGTGCTCGGTGGGTACTTTGGATGGTACTACCTCCGCTTCCTGAACAAGAATCGTGACCATACTGTTGGCGATGTGTCGGATGAGTTTGCGCTGATTGCGCTGCTTCCTGACTTCTTCACGTATGCATCGTTTAGTAATTTGTTTTTTGCTGCGAGTGCTAATTGTGTTTTGTAATGCTTCAACAGTCCACTTGTGCGACCGCTGGCAAACTTCTGCTTCAGCGTGGTTAAGCTCTGCGGATTCTTTAAGAAGCGTGCAACTCAGAAACCTAAAATGCTCCCGATTCTCACGGTGCGTTTGGCGGGTAGTTACCTTTGCCCATGGAAGATGTGGTTGAGCCTTGCATTGTTGCGAATGCTGTAGGAAATTAAAAATGACCCAATTGCTGAACGCCGAAAGTGAGTGCATCATCATGACATGAAATTTTCAGCTTAGTTTGTGATCTAACAAGTATCTGGTATTTGCTTCCGTAGGGCTCGCGCGATGAAGGCTCTGGACGAAAAGCTGGCAAAGCTTGCTCATGCCCGAGACGACAGGGGAACTTCATCGTTATTGTCTCTGGAAGTTCGCAACGACGAGAATTAAGCATTATCCAAATTACAGTAGTAGCCGTGCGTGCAACTACGCTGTAGAGAGAGTACTTTGAAGTTTGAAATAAGTGAGGAGATGGTTAGAAAGACGCCCGACTTGTTCTTATACCCAATGCTGTGCGACCCAGGGTGCGGTAGCATTGTGTGGTTTTGGAAGGAGCGGAAAGCACACTATCGCTGCGTTGGCTGGCGGTGACACAGCCTCTTCATCGAGACTGCGATACTCAGCGATTTTGTCCGGAAAGATGTCCTCTAGAAAGCACGCTCTAGCGTGGGCCATCTCAAGCCAGTGGTCGAACTTGTAGATGTACTTGCTCACAGCAGCGAAGTGAGCGTGGAGGAAGTTGTACAAGAATAGAAGCGAAGCTTCACCTGCATCGATACCAATACGCCATGCGACGATGCTACTATTATACCCGCTTTCTCGTTGCTCGTTGGCCATGTGATCTGTCTTCAGCAGCCCCAACGTTCCCGAGGGAGGCGACCAAATCAACAACTCGACGAGTTTGCCAACGACAACAGTATCGAGATCCAAATACAGGCAACGCGAGTGGCCTAGCGAGCGAAGTTTTACAGACGTTGCAGTTGAAAATAGCTGACACTTATTCCACCATCCCTTCCAGCCTCCACCTAGCGGCAGAAGAGTCAAATTCTCGTGAAGATCGACACCCTCAGCGTTGTCAGTCAGACAGGCAAATGTCACGTGAATTCCCCCACGATGACGCATGACCGAGTTATAGAGCCTGTTCACATACTCAGCACCATACTTGGTGCCCCACTTGACACAAACAACCGTGACTCCATTGTCTGCACTCGCTTCATCGTACAGAGTGTTGTTATCGTCGAGTTTGTCAGACCGAACCTCTTGGTTTACTCCAGCAGAAGTCATCATGACTGTAGCCAGTTTATCGTGCATGATGCCCTTGTCGATACCTGCGCCAACGTCACGTGCCAAATACTCCCAATAAATACGGACAGCCTCGCTCTGCCGTCCCAGTCTACGTAGCAGCACATTGCGGTTGTAGTGCGCCTCGGGAAATTCCGGACGCAATGCTAGTGCCCGCATGCAGAGCTCCAGTGCCTCTTCCAGACGACTCGCGTCTACAATGGCGAGCTGCACCGCCAAATTGACCAGCACCTCGATGCACTCAGGCTGCATGTGCAGGATCTCTTGGTACAATGCGATGGCATCCTGGTGGCGCAAACGCTTAGCCTCCGTTTCGGCGAGCTCAAACTGCCACTGGAGTCGCCACTTTAACCGCTGCGCGTAGCTTTCTGGATTAGAATTCGCTGCCGTCACCTCTTCGAGTCCATCCAGTGCCCGTCGGTAGTGAGCTGCGGCACTTCCATACTTACCTGAAACCGCAAGCAGCGCAGCCAACCTAGCGTGCCAGCGAGCGGTGCTTGCCGACCCGCTTATTGTTGCTATCCTGTACCGGACCGCCGGGCTACTGAAATAATAAGTGAGAATCTTAGGGAGCTTGAAGTTCAAATTAATTATGGCGTGTTCCTTAGAATTCTGAGACGAGCCTCCTGCGCCCAGTCGGACGCTCATATACCGCCTTATCCCTCTCATAACCGACGTTTTCTCATTGCCGACAGACCATTTTAGCCAATAGAAACCTGAATGGAGTTCATATGTTGTGAGCTTCTGTCCGCACTAAAATGCTATACCGACACCGCTAAAACGGAGCTGACACCCACTTGTGATTCTGCTTCGTGTCGACATCGAACATCTTGTATTTCCAGGTCTGTTATGGGGCGTCAGTGCACCACTGGTACGGGTAAGTCCAAAAACTTACAGTCGCACGTCATTTACCTACAAGCACAAGCTGGAAGTGCTTGTTTTTTTTTTACGTAATTCATGACACTGGTAAAGCGATAAAGAAGTTTTATCCATCTGTGACTGACCAAGGAGAACGGAGAAAAAGGATGCAGCTTATATCGGACTGGAAGTCGTCCCGGGTCCTCATCGAACTGATGTTGTGACGGGGTTACACAGCACCTTGCGCTAGAGGAAGTTATCTTCCGAGAGTATACAAACTCTCAGTGAACGGCAGTTCACAGGTCCCCTCTTTAATTAAAGAGAGCGAAGTGACCTAAATAAGGTAGATTGTAAACTGAGTATATTTATAGGTAGGTTAAGTTTGAGGTTAATACAAACTATCAGTTACCTATAGAAATGCAATGTCATTTAACCAATGGTTGGTTTTGAATGACCTTGGTACCTTGTACCAAATATCCCGGAGTATGACATGTCATACTCCTGAAGTGTGAAGTGTCACACTTCATGTAACCAGGGTACACTTAGTGCTACGTACCCCGTTACAGATGTGCTTACAAGTAAAGGGTCACTATGAAAGGGCGCGCAAACTTGGCGACGGTACCATTCTCCCGGACGGTGCAGAAGCGTACACCTCGATGTGGATCAGCTCGTTAAGGCGAGAAGGTTGTCCAGTCTCGGAGCAGATGCTGCATTTTAAGGCCCGTGAGGTAGCCGCTGACCGAGACATTCCGTCGTTGTTGTTTAGCGCATCTCATTCTTGGCGGAGGGGTTTTAGGCGGCGCAGCCGGTTCTCCATTCGCGCCAAAACCCGCCAGGGTCAAACGACACCCGAAGATACACAGTTGAAGGCGGAAGAGTTCAAGAAAGAGGTGAAAGAGCTGATTCTCGAGCACAACATCACTACAGCGCTGAATGCGGATCAGACCGCGGTGTTCTACGAGTACTTGCCTACAAAAACGATCAATGGAGAGAACGATCTGGATTAAATGTGCTGGCAAGGATAAGGAGAGAGCGACAGTTATGCTACTGGCAGACTGGCACGGCAACAAATACCCCCCAATAATTATCTTCAAAGCGAAGGATGCAAAAGATAAGTGCAGACAACGCAGCAACAAGATGAACCAGCACGGCTTTGGGCCAGTTTTGTGGCCCAAAATGGATGCTCTTCAGACGCAGCATCAGTGCCAGAACTATGGCAATTCAGCTGCATGGTGGAATTCGCAGATCTCTCTCCGTTTCTTGGAGTATCACTTCGCAAACGGCCCCAACATAGAAGACAAAATGCTGCTACTCTGGGACGACTTCTCGGGGCACTGGACCCCAGAAGTCGTAGAGTATGCAGCATCTATCAACATTGTGCTGCATAAAGTACCACCACGATACACTTACGTCTGCCAGCCAGCAGACGTAGCGTGGAATCACCCGTTCAAGAGTAAATTGCGCAAGTTTCGGGTCGACCGACTACGACAGCAAGTCGCCGATCATCACGCTCTTGAAGTGAGTCGGGCAGCGCAGCGTCTTGGGATCACGACCCGTACTAATACTGCGTTTCGATTGGAGATGCAAGACGTAGCTCGAGAACGCGTCGCAGACATTCAGCGGGAGGCACCGAGTTCTGTCTTTCGGGTTACTTCTCCTGATAGAAATGCTATTGTGTCGTTGGTCTGTACAAGCTGGAACAGCTTGACGGCATCTATCATTGTAGGGAGGTTTGCTCGAGTTGGTATTCTTGGTGATACACGGGTACATGAAGACGAAGGTGATGAAGCTAATGATGAGATTCCTGCTCTGGTCAAGGAGCTGAAGAAATTGGGGGTGGTGCGAGAAGAGCAGGGCCTTACGTGCGATGAAGATGAGGACTAGATAAAGCTTTGTGTGGTCGCATCTAAATCGTAGTAAGATTCCCCTACCCCATTACACATACTTGCTATCACCACAATCCCCCATGTCGGCAATGACAGGGGCGTTGCGGTAGCCCCCCCCCCAACTCAATAAAGCCGGCGTGGGCACGTTATACCCTTATACGTATACCCGGATGCTGTGCCGGCGTATTTAGGCGAGGGGACTTGTGGAAATTTTTCTCGGTCACACTTTCAAGCTTGCATACACATATTGTGTCGTATACCTCCTGTGACGGGGTCACACAGCACCTTGCGCTAGAGAAAGTTATCTTCCGAGAGTATACAAACTCTCAGTGAACGGCAGTTCAAAGGTCCCCTCTTTAATTAAAGAGAGCGAAGTGACCTAAATAAGGTAGATTGTAAACTGAGTATATTTATAGGTAGGTTAAGTTTGGGTTTAATACAATCTATAAGTTACCTATAGAAATGCAATGTCGTTTGACCAATGGTTGGCTTTGAACGACCTTGGTACCTTGTACCAAATATCCCGGAGTATGACATGTCATACTCCTGAAGTGTGAAGTGTCACACTTCATGTAACCAGGGTACACTTAGTGCTACGTACCCCGTTACATCCTCCCCCACTTAGGTTCGGTTTACCGACCAATCAGAATGAAGAGATGTTCGTCACAAACTCTCATTCTCAAAGTCGAAAACCATCGACTTGGCCGCGCGAGCGCGGCGGAGGCTCACTTTACAGTTAGAGCCTCGAGCAGCAACCTGTGCGCTCTTCGTCAAGGTCTCCACTTCGACCGTTAACATGCCTCGTGGCACTGCTAAGAGCGGTGCTAAGACACGCTCCAAGGCTGCAGCCGGTAAGGCGCAGGCCAAGAGCACTAAGCCTCACGGCAAAGGCTCTGCACTTAAGGAGGCTACTCAGGTGGCCTCCGAGGCGATCGGATCCTCGGATGACGCGGCTGCGGACAAGCGCGCAAGCAGGCGCCGCAGTCCGTCGCCCTCGTCTTCAGACAATCGTCCGAACCCTCGGTTCGTAGAACGTGAGTTCAACTCGGGCAGTGAGGACGATGCCGAGTCCGAGAGCACTCATGATGCTCCTGCGGGCTCTGTGGGAGGGCACAGCCCAGTGCCCAGTGAGCACAAAGAAGACAGCGTGCAGTCGTCCGCTAGTGATCACGGTGATCACAGTCCCAGGACCTCTGTGCGCTCTGAGAGTCCGGCCGTTAAGGCTAAGGGCACTCCCAAAGCCGGTGGCGATGAGGAAGGGAGTCCTCGCAAACGTCTCTCGCTTGCCGAGGGTCTTGCGCGCGCTAAGGCCTCTAAAGCCGAAGGCGCCAAGCCCTCAAAGAAGCGTACCGCCTCTAAGTCTCCACTCCGCGAGGAGAAGGAGACTCGACGCTCCTATCAGAGTCTCTTCGGCTCCTCGGATGAAGAGGAGGAGAAGGAGGAAGAAGAGGAAGAGGAGGGTGCCATTGTTGAGCCCCGGGAGGTCTCGAATGACCTCGACCAGCAGCAGGAGGATTTCCAAGCTGCCCAGCGTGTGCGTGGGGGTTCGGTGGCGGCACCCGTCAGCCAGGGAGCTGCCATCAACTCAAGAGGGTATTGGCCTCCCGAGGAGAGCTCTGGGGCTGACCTCTTCTTAGAGCTTCTCGTCGCTCCTCGTGGCCTTGTGGGCGGCCACACTTCGAGGGGCATCTATGAACGAGCCCTTGTTCAGAAAGAACAGTTGTTCGTCGACAACGTGGAGGCTGCTCGGTGTGTGCTTCTCGCGCCACACCGCATTCCCCTTAAGGACTTCACGACTTGTCGTAAGAAGCCCGAGACCCGGGGTGGTCTCTATCCTCTTTGGGGATACCCCTGGGTTATGCCCGAGAACTGTCCCACATGGAGTTCTTGTGAGGACATGTTCTGGGCGTGGGTGGAGACTCTCAAGTACTCGCCCACGGAGTTATGGGAACTCCATGAAGATCAGCAGCTGTCCCACATCCTGGACCAGCGTGATCTTCGTGTGAGGTTTGCCCACTTGATCAGCAAGCGTATGCTGCCAAGGGACATCCTGAAGCGCGCGGCTTCTAGCGCTCACGATGAGCGCGGGTACGGTATGTATTCATCATCCGTACCCCGTTCGGGCAAGAAGCCCCGGACTACTTATGAAGCTGCCGCCGCTTCTGTTCCCAGATTGAGACAGCCTTCGGGCAGTCAATCAGGAGCCGTTCAATCGGCTCCCACGAGTTCTCGGAGTGGGCATAACCCCTCCACTTCACGAGGAGCTGTCGCTTATCGCGACGCCGTTGCTCCTGGAGGATCCGCTCCACATGGAAGTGGACTTCTGCATTCCGGTCAAGCAGGAGCCGAGGTGCCCTCGTACGAGTACGAGTACTCGGCGCCTCCCGAGAGCCACTCTCGTCCGAGTGCTCCTACTGCGGGTCCGACACAGGATCCTGAGGTTTACCGCCTCCGTCAACGTGTCCTCGTGCTTGAGATTGCACTTGGCCTTGGGACTGGCGGTAATGCTTCCGCCCAGGCCGGGAATTAGGGCGAGCTCGCTCGTCTTGCGGGCCGCCTGGACCTGCTGGAGCGAGAGGTCGCGAGCCTGCACCTGCGGGTGGATCGCCGGGCCTCTTCGACCGATCTGGACGAGGCCTTTCGCATGATCCGACGGATCGAGGCTTTGTTGCCACGTCCGGATCCGCCTGCGGCACACTCCCAGACGTACGCGTATGGTGCGTACCCGGCGTACTCAGCGTACTCGGCGTATGGCGCCGGGGTCCGTTCGTATGGAGCCCCTCCGGCGTACGGTCTTGACCGCAGCCTTGCCGTCCCGACCGAGGCTTGGGTGCCTGCTCCGACGACCTCGTCGACGACTGTGACCGGCCCTCGCTTCGAGGAGCTGGGTCATGGGGGGTCTGC